TAAGTTTTCTCCTTCGATTAATCTGCCAAGAAAGAAGAGCGGTATTAGGTAGGAAGTCCCTCTTCTTCTCTCCCTTCTCTTGCATTGCATTCTTTCTCTCGTCAATTGCTCTGTGATTTTGATTTCTTATCCTATTCTCTAAACTTGTAGACAGCAAGATTTGCTGAAAAAAGTGGTCGAGGTTAAACCCAAACGCCCGAAAGTCTCAAACCTGCCAAGTAGGAGCCAATCTCCACCTGTTAAAACAGACAGAGGTCCAACTGACGGGAAGATCGACAGTGGCAATGAGCGGAAAATGGAAGAAAAGACACCATCAAGACCCGACGAGCCACGGGAACTCCCTGGAGGAGACAAAACGGATGGTGAGGCAGAAACCAGGAGGAAGATTGAAGGCGAAACCGCTGTGAGAAGCTTACTTGGGTTAGCATATGAGAGTTCAGATGAAGAATGAGAGGAGGATGTGATTGAAGATGGGTTTGTTCTAGTTCGACAATTAGGGTTTTTGTTGTCTTATTGGAACACACGTTTTGCTGGATGATCTCAGATATATGTCAGAAAAAGCTTAGTAGAAGGGGGTCTTGCTTCTTGCTTAAGGTTCAACAAAGCGCATTCGCTTCAAAGTCCATTTGTTGTAATTGTTGAAATGGAACAGAGTTGGTTGAAATGGTCTGTGAAAGCTTCAGTTACTAGGGGCGGACTAGTTCGGTTACCCGAGTTTTTCAGCGTCGATCTCGCTCTCTCGGCTTTCCTAATCAGGTAATCCGGGTTTCGGGTATCCATTAGCTGCATCGAAGGTTCAGGCATCCGATCGGTAAGGTCAGGTGCAATGAGGTGGTGGAACTGCGAAAGAGGACGAGTCGTCGGAGAGTCGATTCACTCGTAACCCTATTATGAATGAATCCTAACCCTAATTCATGAAAGTAAATGGTCTTCCCCTCGTTCTTCTCCTCGCTCGCCTGCTCTCTTCTTTGGCTTGAGATACACGTCTTTTTATGGGTAATCGACCGATGAAACTCTAATCCGAATTTGAATATCAGGTTCTCGTCATCATCGTTTTCATAATCTTTTCGTCAGTAGAATATATTCAGCTTCGTTACAAACAAGGGTTAAACTTTATCATTAACATCAGGAACCACAAGAATCGTTTAGCTGTTGCAGTGAACACAGAGATTTACAGAAAACTGGAAACTCTTGTTCCAATGATCCTAAGAACCGTTCCGCCGTCTGCTCAAGCGGATCTCAAAACCATTAACTAGACGAGCCGAGGGGAAGAACGAAACTTGATCTTCCTTGAGCTGTGTCCACCTATGTGAAGCGCCGATGGATAAGATACGGTTTCGGGCAAAAAAACTCGGAAAAAGACAGGATGTTAAAAGAACTGAAGATTCACCAACCTGTATGTCATGGTGAAATAATGCAAGAACAGAGCGATCTGAAGGCGAGCTAGTTCCGCTCCCGGACAAAACCGAGCCCCTCCCCCGAAAGGACAGTAGAACGGACTCGTTCTCCAGTTCCTCTTTTTCTGCATCGGATTGGAAAAGTTCTGATATTTTTTTCGTTTTCAGGAAGTAAGGTTTAGATTATGATCCGGGGAAGAAGGAAACTGTGAAGTGACCTGAGTTTCGGGGTCAAGCCACCGCCATGGATGGAAGGACAAGCTTTCTTTGTAAAAGCTTTCGTCTAAGTGAATGGCCGAGAGGAACGGAACGACAAAACATCCCTTAGGGATCACGTAATCTGCAGAATCCGACGAGGTTTCAGAAACACGTCTGGAGCATTTGGACAAGGTTTTTGTCTGAATCGGATAGTACCTTGATAGGTTACGTCTTCTTTCGTCTCCCTCATTAACCAGATTGCGATTCCCCCGAGCCTGAGGGTTTCATCGATTACCTGTTTGATCCCGAAAAAGTTATCCGTATCCTTACGAAGAGATCAAGAAAAAAATGAGGAGGCTTCTTGTTTGTCCTTCAAAGATTACTTACACACTGAGTGAAATCCATTGTCTTGTAATCTTGCCATGTTAGGCTTCCGTTGTGTCCCGAGTTACCCGAAAGCCTCTCGTGTTCTTCCTGTTCATCCGAACGAGCAGAATTTGCAGAGCGTTTTAGAAGAATCCGAAACAGAAAAATAAAAGAAAACTAATTTTTGATTTGGATTTGTTTACATACCAGAAGCTGGTTCATGGCTTTGGGACAGTGAGTGAGGAAGTAAACAGCGAAAAGCATCGTTTTCGCGGTCGTTTCGTTCCCGGCGAAGAGAAGGTTGATGATGAAATCCGCGATCACTTCGTTCGGTAAGTTTTCTTCTTCGAGTAATCTGCCAAGAAAGCCATTTCCGGCTTCCCCTGCTTCGTTCTGTACCCGCCTCTCTATCGTATCGTTTATCTTGTGTATGATATCCTTCCGCGCCTGATAAAAACGTAAATCAGCACATTCCGAAAACGAAATCGACCGTGAATTGGGTAGCGTAGATGATTCGGGTTTTAATTTCACCTTCATCGCTCTGTAGTATGTGAAGCCGGGTAAGTTGACAGGCACGGAGAGGCAGCCGTCGACGAAATCTGAGAAAAGCCGAGCCATTTCATCGACTTCTGATTGGCTTGACACTCCGAGAAGTTGGTTAACCATAAGGTGGATCGCGACCTGAACAAATAACGGTTTAAGCATCACCTCGAATTCGCGAAACAACGACGGAAAAAAGCGGAGAAAAATCATTCTCCTTTTTTCACTCGCCTTTCTGCATACGTCTTGGAGAAGAACAACTTCTCCGTCCTGGAAATTACTCAGCGTCTGAAGCATAACGGTATTGATATCGTTCACGAAATGGAACCTGAGCTGATCTTGCCGCGTCATGTTCGACGCGATCGAGTGCAATCGCCTTTGCTGCTCGCCGTGAACCGTGATCACGCCATTTTTACCGACCAAGTCCCTGAAAGACTTGGGATAGCTTGACTGAAACAGTTTGCCTTCGTTCTGCATTATGAACCTGTTAAACGCCGGATCTGCTGATACTATCGCCCATTTCCCGAACAGACTACACGAAAATATCCTCCCGAACCTGAATTCGATAGTCCGTCTATCGTATCAGTCGCGTTCTGGACTCAAATATGTTCCGAAACTGTAATCCAAGAACTGAAAACGAATATGGTGAAGTGGAAATCATGGAATCAAGCATCGAGTTGATGGATTCATTGAACGTTATAAGACACGCCTGATGTATAGTTCTCGTTAATGGAGATTTTCGCACCGGTTGTGAAGACGGGTCCGAAACGATGCGATCGAGACATCGTTTCTATATCGAAGCTAACGTTCGTTCTTAAGACAGCAGCTTGGGTTCGAATTCGGACAGGAAACTAGGAAAGAAGAAGAAAACAACCTTTTGATCTGTTGCTCGACAAAGCTGGAAGGATGAGAGCTGGAGACGGCGTTGAGCCAAGCGAAGCTGTTTCCGATGACCGGCCATCCTCTGGTTCCCGGAGGCCATCTGTAACGCTCTCTCGCTCTTCTCTTTCGACATTTTGAGAGGAGGAAGAGGAAGAAGAAGACGATGAAGGTGGAAGAAGAAAGTGAGAGAACCCAGTTGGATCCTCCTATATAAGAACCAAGTTCCGCCATTGATTCTCGCCTCTTCTGTGATGTGGAGAGTTCGTGGGGGGCGTTTCCGTTTGTATTATTAATCAAAGATTCGCCATTTTCGGCTCCAGTGTATACAGCTAAGACCGCAGAATAAGTAAACAGCAACTGACGAATTTAAAAAAGGAGACATGATAATGTCCGGAGAGAGGTTAGTCGTGTTGTGAGGTTGCTTTGACCGCAAGGAGCCTTTTAGGCTAACGTGACGGTGAAGGAAGGGTTAGTTTTATGGAGCCACTAAAAACTCAGTCAAAAAAGATGTATGGGTTTAAAGCCTAATGGCTAATGCCCTAAAAATACATTTAAAAAAAAAAAAAGATAGAGCGACTAATTTTGACTGCTCTCTTGTGAACTTATAATTTGCTAAAGTTTCCATTTTTTTTTATTAGAAAAACAAATTATTTATATCTTTCGGAAGATGTAACGGCTCGTAAAATCTAGGTATTTCCGTCGAAAATATCAATTAAAACTTTACTTTATAAAAAACTCTAAGCTTAGCTTGAGTGCAAACACATGAATTTTGGATGGTTTTCGATGTAAATATCTTCTAGTTTTTTCTATTTGGGGAGTAAATAAAACCTTATAAATTTAAATCCAGAATATTAAAGAGATTTGAAAATCCATCATAATTTTTATCCGTCAAGGAACTGATTTTATTATAAAAAAATAAAGTATAATCAACTCGGAATAAGATCCGAAAAAATGTGTACCTAAAACACTCACGTAAATTTCATAATGAATTTAAGTATTAAAATTTAATGGTATTTATTACATATACATCAACTTCTATCACAACTCTTTTATTTATTTTTTTCATCAACCTTCCATTTGATAGGAATCAAAGGAGAGATGATTCATAGGTTTATTTTGTTTATTATTAGATCTCGTCTTTTGTAAGTATAGTTTTTATTTTTCTGCAAAATATATGATTAAATATGTGTGTATATATATATATATGATATAAATAAATAAATGTGTAGCTCTTTGGAGCCAGCGTGAACCAGCTAAGGAATTCTTGCATGAAAAGCCTCCGATTCAGGCGGTGACTCTCGTGACGTCATCATGTACGCGTCCTTTGCTGCTGCCACTTATATTACTATACTTTATATTTCCCAAAAATCCCGTCTTGAGCGGTGAATTTGTATCATATTTGCATGATTGATGACCACTCATTATTATTTATTTTTATTTTTGGATATTTTTCTATATATGAATCGGAATTCATAGTGTCCGAATATATCATTGTGATACTATAGTAATAAATATAATACATCGCATTCATTTGAAAACAATTTGATTTTTTTAATCAATCACGGAGAAAAGTTACTCAAGCTATTTGAATTTTTTTAATGAGATTTCAATTTAATATGAGAGAAAAATTATCCATCCCATTGATAACAATATATTGGTCCCATGTTCAACGGAAAAAAATTTTGAAAAAAAATATTTAAAGGAAAAGTAAAATAAATTTCTGATAGCAAGTTCAACCGAAATCAAAACAATATCCAATTCGCGTGTATACTATATTGTTCTCAAATGTCGATTATCATTTCCAAAATATTACTGGCTGCGTAATCTTTTGTCAAATTCTGAATAAATAAGATATAGTGTAAAAATAAATTAAAAACAAGAAAAGAAAGAAGAAAGAAGAACCGACCATATGGATAAAGCCGCCTATGGTTGGACATTTGTGCCAAGAAAGATTTAATTATTATCAACAGGGACACTTGTAAAGGCATATATGGATTAGGATTGGGCGTTTTGGTAAACGGTTCGGGTTCGGGATGTAAATGTATCGATTCAATTTTTTCGATTTTACAAAAATAGGTATCAATCAATTTTTATATTAAATTCGGTACGGTTCGAGTTTGGTACCGGTTCGGTTCGATTCTATATTTTATTAAAAAAGATAGATTTTCTTTTAAAAAAATTCGATTCGATTTTAAAAAATTCGGTTCTCTAAAAATAGTATCGTTCGAAAATTTAGAACGGTTCGTATCGAGAAAAATCTCACCGTCGAATTCGACTCCGACGTATGGATTTGCCCCGAGTCCAAGGTGTTATATATATATATGACATGTTTTTTTTTAGCAAAGTACTATTGGATATGGCCGTGTTATTTAAGATTTGAGGGTTAGCAAATGTAGAATACTTTTAAAATGGAAGATCTCATACGGATTTACTACCAATTTCAAGTTAATGTACAAATTTTAAAAATCCCAAGAAATCTATGATTTTTTTTTCAATCATATGTTATAATTCATAAGAAATCAAAGAACTGTAAGGAATTTTACAAAGATTTAAAAAAAAACTTCAAGGCAAATAAGAAATTATGTCAATTACCATGTAGTTTTTTTTTGGACCGTCTCACTAGAGGCCATTCTTAGGACAGAGACGAGGTTCCAGTGGAAACATCGAGCAAGAAAAACGTGCAGATTAATAACTTTTCATCTCCACGTGGGTAACTTAGATTACGGTTAAAAAAAAGGGTGGTAAAAAGGGCTCACACCCTTCATGGAATTTACAGCACTTTGTTGTTTAAATAACCCTAATCTCTCGGCCCGCATTCACACAACACCAGCTCAAGAAACCCTAAAAAAGAAACAAGATAAAGAATCCTACTCTTTCCTTCCATGTTATCTTTCTCTCGCTTGTACTGGCGCTGGTGTCGGCGTCGGGTTCTGTCCAACGCCGAGCCAGAGTACGCGACACCAAAGGTAGAGTTGTTCGTACCTTCGAACCTTATTACACCTTACCGGCCGAAAACGAGATAGGAGGTGGAATTATGCCCGGAAGCACAGCAGTTTACCACGATTTTTGTCCGCCCGGCGTCGTTCAGTCTCAGTTACCTACATCCCCGGGGTTCCCGTCAGTTTCGTCACGCACGCCTACAGGGCAGGTTCCTTACAAACATCCTCTAACGTCTCCATTGAATTCTACACCGACATTTGGCCCTGCCCCGGTGGTTCCAGGGCGTGGAAAATTGTTTCGACCACGTATCTGAGATGGGATTACATAACGGCCGGTGGATGGAAATATGGGGATGGAACCAACTGGTTCCAGCTCGTGAAAGACGGGGATGCTTATAAGATTGCAAACTCTCGGAGATCCGGACACGTCGGTATCTTTACTGACCACCAGGGAGTTCGTGGTTTGGTTCTTGGTGGTACGGAGCCCTTGAGATTCAAGCTCAAGAAAGCTGACGAGACAACAAACGAACTCTTTCGAGAGCACCATGTGAACTTGTGAAGTGTAATTTGCCGAGCTTGTGAGAATAATGGTTGAAACAATACCAACTTTGTTATTCCGCATGGAATTTATAATAATGGTTTATATATTCTCTATCAATAAATAATCAATGGCTATGAACTTAGATTAGTTCTATCATTTTTAGCAATCACATGAATCCATTTTTTTTTTAAAGACAAATGGTATAAAGAATACGAAACGTTTTTACCACAAAAACGCTACCCAAACAGTTATCACAGTTATTTCAGAGATGAAAAGTATCAACCGAAAAATTTCATGTGTCTATCTGAAATTTGCTACAAAGTTCAAAATTATTTTTACTCTATTCTCCTTTATTCTTGTTATAGTCATTTATATAATATAAAAAGAAACAAATGAAATTATATTTTTGTAACAGAAAATAATAATCCTATCATTTGGTGGCTCCGAAACGACATTATATATCGAAATTATCTTTATTTTGCTATATAAACTTCGCATCATACCTTTCTAACCTTTTTTTGTGAATAGTGTGACATATGATTACTATATAAGTTTTGTATAAAGTAACCGTGTGAATAATGTGATCATCATTAAATTTAACGGTGTAAACAATATAAGATCACACAAAAAAAATATCATAGAAGGATATAATTTGAACTTCATAAAGCAAAGTCAAGATATTTTTTATAATGCCCCACCGAAACGTAACCAACCATTATACGTGTGGTCTCCTTTATTTTTCGATAAATTTGATTGTGTATTCATATAATTGTGATGCAAAGCATAAAAAAATATCCAACTAATTCACGTATATATATATATATGTATATATATATATGTCCTCAAATATCGTCATCTTTTGTCAAATTCTGAATGGTCCATGTTGTATGACGGATTCATATCTATGGTCCGTTATCTCACTAGAGGCCATTCTTTGGATAGAGACGAGGTCGCACAGAGACTTCCAGCATGGAAAATGTGCAGATTATTAAGAGAATTCCATCTTCATGTGAATGACGCAGGAGAAAGTTTATTTTATTTTTTTTGGGTAAAAACAGTGCTTTCACCGTCATGGATTTAATTACAGCATTTCGGTGTATTAAACACTGAATTAAATACATAGGGATAAAACAACGAATGAAAGGTGATGTAAGGACTTATGTTTTTTTTTTTCTCAAATTGAGAAAAATTTTCCATAGTTCAACGGCAGCCATGTGTATTTGTATATATACAACACTTGTTATCAAATTCTCTACCGTTCAATATATAATTAAATAGTTAATAAATAGCATCATAAATCAAATTATCAATCTTTATTATCGCCCGCTAAATATATTCAGATAAAATAAAGCAAAAGTTTAATGTTTTATATGATATAAGTATAAATCAATACGATGAATCAATGATGACATTTGTCGGGTATTTATATTTAGATTACAAGTGATTAGATAGAACATCAATATACATATAATCATATCAGTTGAAAACTATATAATTGAAAACAACAAAAATCAAGAGAGATGTATAGAAACAAACATGGATTCTATAATAACATAGTGATAATAGAAAAGAATATGATATTTCTGAACCAACAACATACACACACACATATAGCCATCAATACAAAAATGATCAATATACTGAAATGGATTTCAAAATTTTATAATTCATATCCTAAAATTTTAAAATAAAATAGAAATTTATAAGCTGAAAATGTTAAATTTAAAATTATAGATTATAACGGTAATATTTCATTACAATTTATCTAAAACCGTAGCAAATAAAGATGTTTTGTTTTTGTTTAATTATAAATTAATAAAATAAGTAAGAGATAAAGTATAAAAATAAATCAAAAACAAGAAAAAAAAAATTCATGGATGAATCATGAAGCCACCTGTGGTTGGACAAGGAGAGATTTAACAATTATCACTATAGACACTTGGCCATATATGGTTGGTCATCGTGTACATTCTTTGTACATAGACATGGAGCATGAAAAACATGCATGCAGATTAAGTCATTTTCATCTTCACGTGAAAGAGATAAAAAAAAAACGCTGGTAAAATGCGGTTTCACCTTCATGGGTTTAGAGCATTTTTCATGTATAAATAACCCTAATCTCTGCTCACAATTACACAACACCAACTCATACAAACCCTACAAAACTAAGCCATGATGAAGAACCCTAATTTATCCTTCCCTGTTGTCTTTCTCGCGGTTGTAATGGCCGCGGTATCGGCCTCAAGTGCAGCGTCAAGCATGTTACTCGACACTGGGGGCGAACTACTTATTCCTAATGCCCTTTACTACATCCTACCTGCCGGGAACGGGACAGGAGGTGGTCTTATACCCGTTAGCACAGAAGTTTACCAAACTCATTGTCCACCCGGTATTGTTCAATCCCAATTACCGTACATCCTAGGGGTTCCTGTTAGGTTCCGACAGTTATCCAGAGTGGGGTTCGTACCGTTAGAGTATGATATCAACATCGAATTCGACATCGACATATGGCCTTGCGCTGATGAATCCAAGGTGTGGAAAGCTGTTTCCTCTCAGTGGCTGAGAGGGAGCTATGTAAGCGCTGGCGGAGAGAAATTTAGCGATGACAGCTGGTTCCAGATCGTGAGAGATGGAGATTCTTACATGATTCTGCACTCTCGGAGCTCGCAACATGTCAGTCTCTTTAAATGGGCGAACAATGCTTTGGTACTTGGGTATAACCCCTTCCCGGTCAAGTTCATGAAGGCTGACCAAATCACAAGAAACGAACTCTCCGTGAAAACTATGTGAAAGTATGTTTCCTTATTTAGATCTTGTATGACGAATAACGCGCGGTTGAAACAATACCAACTTTGTTGCTCTATGTTGAATTTTAATGGTTTATATATATGAATAAAATCTTATTTTATATCTTGTTGAAACCAAGAACCGGAGTTGAGCCACACTCGTGATTTGGTTTTGGAAAAAAAATGCAATTTTTGTCTTAAAAAAACAATACGTTAGAGAAACCGACACATCAAAGCGTACATAATTTAGGCCGCGAGAGGATCCACTACGATCTAACGGCGTAAAACGAGAGCTTTTTCCAACTAATATTTTCAACCGTTGATTGAAGTTATGAGATTTCCATCTTTGGACCGAGACATGGAGCATGAAAAAGTGCAGATTAAGAGATTTCCATCTTCATAAATCACAAACAAATAAATTATCTATTTTATAAGGGATTACCGTCAAAATAATTTTGTACTTTTCTGAAAAAATTCTATATATTTTTTTTATTACCAATTAAACCATATACTTTTGTGATTAACTTATAATTTTATTAATTACAAATAATTTTATTATATGTATGTGTGAATTTATATGTATATATATTAATTTAAATAAATTATCTAATTTAAATTTTGTTTGAAATGATGATGTTTGTATGTCATGTCATTGTCACTCATCATTTTTGTTTGAATTGGTCAACGTTAGAGAATTCACCATAAGATTTTATGGATTAATCACACTAAGTACATGGTTTAATTGGTAATAAAAAAGTATATAATTTTTTTTGACTTAGAAAAAATACAATATTTTTTTGGGGACAACCCTATTTTATAATGTAAAAAATATAATATAGTTTATATGTCCGAGAAATATAAGAGGAAAATTCACCTAGATTTCTTCGTTTAGTTGAAAAATATAATTGCGGCAAAGATCTATTGAACTCCGCGTTATAAAAAAAAATCCAATTCCGTATATATATTGCCCACTAGTGTCGAAATCTTTTGTTAAACTCTGAACGGTCCAACACTGATGCAGTTCTATATTCCGTAGACATACATATATGGTTGATCATCTCACTAGACCGAGACATGGAGCATGAAAAACGTGCAGATAAAGAGATTTCCGTCTTCGTATCAAAGACTTAGATTAAGATTTCCATTTTCATACGGCATTTGGGTGTATAAATAACCCTCACAGACACACAACACCAATTCACAAGCTCAAATCAACAGCAAAAACACGATGAAGAACCCTAATTTATCCTTCCCTGTCGTCTTTCTCTCGATCGTACTGGCCGTGGTATTGGCACCGAGTACGGTGTCGTCAAGCATCGTGCTTGACACCGTGGGCAGACCGGTTCGACCCGGTGTCCCTTATTACATCCTACCAGCGGAAGACGGGACAGGAGCAGGCGGTCTTGTTCCGGCGACAGCGTATTACCAACGAGACGCGTGTCCGCCCGCAGTTGTCCAGTCTCAGTTGCCGTACGTACTAGGGGTTCCCGTTACTTTCGCCCCGGTGAACTCCGAAGCCGGATTTGTACCGACATCATCCGATCTCACCGTCGAATTCGACTCCGACGTATGGATTTGCCCCGAGTCCAAGGTGTGGAAAACCGATTACGCCCAGTTGCTAAGGACGAGCTACGTAAGCGCAGGCGGTGACAAATCCGACGGGGACAGTTGGTTCAAGATCGAGCAAGACGGAGATGATTATAAGATCTTCCACTCTCTGAGCTCCAGCTACGTTAGCATCTCCAATCCTGACCGGGGCGTTCGTGGCGTTCTTGTCGGCCCAAGCGGGAGGCTGCCATTTCTGGTCAAGTTCAAGAGGGCTTACGAGACAACAAACGAACTCTTAAAGAACACTATGTGAAGGATGTTTCCTAATTTAGCAAAGTGTAATTTGCCAAGATTATTGAATAATATGTTGAAACAATACCATCATTGTTACCGGATAGATTTAGTAAACTTTCGAATTATAAAAAAAAATTATTACTATTTGAAAAAAATTATTTTTTAAATTAAAAAAATGGGTCTCGTGAACTAAAATGTTATGTTAGTTATTTTAGAGGTTAAAAATGTATATTGTAGTTTTTTATTTGCAATAATATAATTAAGAAACAAATAAAATTAAATCTTTTATCATAGAAAAACTCGGTGACTCCGAAAGAGATCCTAATAAAGGGGTTGAGCCGGACCGGTTTTGGGCTCATGCGCTCATGGCCCATAATCCTTAACGAAGGCTTATGCAAATGTCGAATATGAAATCCTTTGAGGAGGAATTTTTATGATTTGTTCTCTATCAATAAATAATCGGTGTCTGTGTACTTAAATTAGTTTATTTCTAGCAATGATACGTACAAAATATACATATGTATTTATGTTTATGCGCATATATCCCTATGTGTGTGTGTATATATATATGTCATGAGAATTTACAGGATTGGTTACCTATATGGGAGTTGATTATTAGGAAATATCTATTTAAATATCACTGATATACGTCTGTCGTGTGTATGGGAGTGGAATTTGTTACGGACAAGATATGCACTGCGGGATATAAAATAAGATTTTATTCGTAAACCATTAATTCCATCACATCATCCATAAGCGATAGGCAAATTACACATGAAAAACATCCATCACTCAGCCAGTCTTCTTCAAGAGCTCGTCTGTTGTCTCGTAAGCCATCTCGAACTTCACTCTCAAGGGCCTGAAACCAAGAACCACGACACGGGCATCGGCAAGATGATCGTCAAAGATGCCGACTTGGTCGCCGCTACGAGAGTGAAGAATCTTGTACCCGCCTCCTCCGTCTTCCAAGATATTGAACCAGCTGCCTTCCCTGCCCACCTCACCGCCCGTGCTCACGTAGGACCCTCTTAGCCACGCGGAGAAAGCACTTGTCCAGACCAAGGGCTGATCGGGGCAAGACGAACTGTCGGGAGAGAATTCGATGGTGAGATTAGTGGATGCTGGTACAAACCCTAGTTTGGAGTTCCATGGGGAGAAAGTGACAGGATCTCCCAGGCTGCCCGGAAACTGAGCCTGGACAACGCCGTGAGGACAAGGGCGTGGGTGGAAAGTAGCCCTGCTTTCATGCCTAAGACCGCCTCCATTCCCGTCCGCTGGCAGGACGTAGTAAGGTTCACCGGCACGAACCGGCCTGCCTTTGGTGTCCAGTACAGTGCCTTGGGCATGGACTGCACTTGGTGCTGATACCACTGCCAATACAATCGAGAGAAAGATCACTGGGAAGGACATGTTAGGGTTCTTCATCCTTTTTTTTTCCTGTCTGTGAATTGGTGTTGTGTATATATATATATATGCGTGTGTGTGTGTGAAGGCTGCTGTTGAATAACAAGTGGTACATTGGCCGGTTCCCATTAATTCATTTTTAGCTCTCTTTTAGGGCCACCAATAGTCAAAATCGTAATTTTATCATATAACTTGTTAGGATTAATCGAATTTTCCATCGTTCAACAGCAGCCGTATTATATATATGGATTTCAAACTTTTTATAATTCTATCCAAAACTTTAAATTAAAATAGCAATAAGAAGTCGAAAATAATAAAATTGATTTTAAAATTAAAGATTATAACTCTAATATTTCGCTACATGTTATCTAATACCATAGCAAAAAAAATTGTTTTGTTTTTCTATAATTCTCGATTAATAAAATAAATAAGATATAGTGTAAAAATAAATTAAAAACAAGAAAAGAAAGAAGAAAGAAGAACCGACCATATGGATAAAGCCGCCTATGGTTGGACATTTGTGCCAAGAAAGATTTAATTATTATCAACAGGGACACTTGTAAAGGCATATATGGATTAGGATTGGGCGTTTTGGTAAACGGTTCGGGTTCGGGATGTAAATGTATCGATTCAATTTTTTCGATTTTACAAAAATAGGTATCAATCAATTTTTATATTAAATTCGGTACGGTTCGAGTTTGGTACCGGTTCGGTTCGATTCTATATTTTATTAAAAAAGATAGATTTTCTTTTAAAAAAATTCGATTCGATTTTAAAAAATTCGGTTCTCTAAAAATAGTATCGTTCGAAAATTTAGAACGGTTCGTATCGAGAAAAATACCGTTTTTTCAGTTCGGTTCGATTTCGAAACGCATGTCCCTAATACAGATAGATACATCACTTGCAGATTAAGAGATTTCCCATATTCAAGTGAAAGACTTTGAGAAACATTATAAAATAAAATTTCAAAAAATTTAAGCTATAAGTGATTGGTATTTATAAAATCCAACATTATCCAAGAACTTGTTATATATGTATACAAGAGTTACAGGGAATTGAAAGCTATTGGCCCAATTGAAGTCAGTGAAGAAAATAAAAATAAAATGAAATCTTATTCTGACGTGGGTTTGTCACAAAGAAATATAAATGGAGAGATGGATAGAATTTTGTGGGACATAATTTTGCAAACGAGTAGAATCTGGGGATGTGCTCATGGCCCATAATCATTAACGAAGGCTTATGGGGATGTGGCGGACCGGTTTTGGGCTCATGGGCCCATGGCCCATAATCCTTAACGAATGGCTTATGCGAATGTGAAATCCTCTGAGGAGACGAAAATGTGAAATCGCAATCTTCGATCTGAGTTCCAAGATCTGACAAAAAACCTTTAAATCTTTGCTTTCTCATTGATCCTCCCAACTCGAATCTCTTTTCGGACATCCGCTCTT